CATAAGGACAACAAGCTCATCAACACAACCATTCGTGCGTCCAATCATGCGCAATCGGAGTGATGAGTAAAATATATAGATAGAGGGTGTGAAAAGACGTTACTTTTCTGTTCTAATTACTTAGAGCCATCACTGCTGGTTTCGTACATATGCGAACACATGCAGCCACATACACATACAAAGACAGACACACTCACATTCTCCAAGGTTGGCGTATGACTGGAAATAACCAAATCACTTAACACCTCATCAAAGAGCTCAGATATAGAGTATATATGCACGATTTGAGGGACAAGCCGTTGAGTTTTCTGGACATGTTAGCTTGAATATGGTTGTAAGGGTGATACCTTGCTCTGATTATGTCCGTAGTACGACGGACGAAAGCTTAGTACGTTTTCACTGGAATCGAGAGAGATTACATCAGAAACAACGTCAACAAGAATGCTCCGGTGAAGCCAATCGGCAGCTGGTCAAGAGAAATCCGCCATCGTATTCTGGTTTTATCGACTTTCGAATCTCTTCACCAAACAGTCTCACTCAAAATGGAAGTAAGCTCAGCAAACCTATTCGTTTGAGACAATTCTATTTCATGTTCTGTCGCTGTCATGCATTCGGCCACTTCTGACCGTTGGACCCAGCTGCCTTTACAAGCATTTTTGGGTTCACCTAATCTTTTGCTAAAAGGTCGACACGTATCACCAACAGTCTCGATCAGGTCTTTTATTTGGGTCATTAAGCTTTGATTTTTAGAACCTGACATTAGGCTTTTTATTCACTCTGATTTAGGACCGGTATTATGTACAGAATTCAACGCGCACACGATTAAAAGTAGCATTACAAATATGAAAAATGAGTTAAACCATTCTATATCTATGCCTATACATTTTAGTTTTTACTTGTGACTTATATAAGAGGTAAGGTAGATCCGGATTATCTCCTTGGCCTAGTGTTTACTTTAAACATTTACAAGAACGACTTCCAGCTCTGATGTTGTCCATATTATGCTGGAAAAAAGATCATCCCATTTCCACCCGAAACGAAAGAGGATGCCTCGTGGACTGCGTCAATATAAACATCGTATTAAAATCAAACTTTACCATTTTTCATCCACTTTCATACGAATGAAAGTCCTCCAAACAATTTCCTAATTGCTCCAGCAAGGTAAAACTACTCTGACTGTCTGTTCCCATATGAGGTCATGCAGATTTTATGTGAAGAAAAACTGGGTTTTCCTTACACAACAATCATCCCTCGGTTTCAGGTGGGATCACATCACGAATTCCTTCCAACCAACTTTCCCTTCGGAATGGAAAGTCATGCCACAATGAAGACTTTATGCTTTTCTTGGTGCATTCTACCAGACCCTAATCTAATGCTAAATTAATATGAAGAAACACTAGGTTTTAAGAATCCCTTAATAGTTTCATGTTGATGTAACTCTGGCGACGATGCCAATTTACGAATCCCTTTTAGTCACCTCTTCACATGAAATGAAATTTATCCCAAAATTCCAAAATTGAATCGTGACTACCAATTAAAATGTGAAGAAGAACAGTTTTAGGCAACGTTATGGATGTATAATATTCTTTATTACAGCTAAGATGATCAGCCATGCAGAGAAAATACGCGTTGAAGACCCACCTCCCGCCACTCCACTGAACCGGGCTCAGCCGATCAGCAGTCGTCCCTTGGTGCGCACGGAGTATCCGGCTCGAGCTTGTCACCTAGTTACGCCAACGCTAGTACCGATTAAGCGTGATGACGCCTGCTACTGCAGCCTCGATCCTGTCTTTCCATCCCTATCCTCGTCTCCTTCTGCCATTCTACTTCTCGTAAAGCATCCACGCGAAATTAAACGAACCGAGCGTTCGAAGGCAGTTGCCGGCGCATCCTTCAGCAGGTACCACAGACAGGCCCTTCAGAATAACGGTCCCCTAGCCGTCTACCCCACTTTCCTACCGTCTACCTACCAGTCGCCAAAGCCGAACAGGCCCCGTTTGAACCCACTCCAGTTGCCGGGAGGAGCACCACTGACGGTCAGCTTGGAGACTGGGGATGTGAACCATCATAACACTCTCCGAAGTCTGGAGATGAAACAAAATGAGCATTTACGCTACCACCAGGCCTGGTCGGGATATTACTACGGTGACATTGCGGAACGGGAAAGTTACAGGTAGTCACAACATCCTCTTCAAATGCCAATTTTTCATAAACTTATGTGTTTCTGTGTGGAGGGGATTCGTATACATTAGACAAAGCCCCCATATTCCTATACTTGAAGTCTCTCGTTCTGTATAGCCCACTGTAGA